TTCAAGATGCACATCTCATTAATCTTCAAAGCCTTCGCCGTTGGAGCCGTCTTGGGCTCTTCTACCGTCGCAGCTGACAGGGATCCTTCTTTCCCTGCTTGTGATGCTCCTTCGGATTTCGCCAATGTTACTTACAGCCAGGAACTGGCTATCGGCTACATGAAGGCAAGTGAGTGAGATGAGACGTAAATCGAGTGGAAAAGAGGCCTTGTCACAAAGGGAGATGGGTTAAATGTGCTGATCATCACTGGTTGGTTCCTGCTCAAAGACAATCATATGAGTGGTGTCGCTGGACGTTACACAAACAGCAAGGAAGAGAGCGATGATCCTGTCGTGTATGTTGCACCGTGAGTCAGCCGATGTATGCGTGCAGTACGTCAGCAATTCCCTTAATGCAGGACGTCGCGCTGAAATCTTGTCTCTTCTATATGCTGTCACTTGGCTTGCTTGCTTCGCTTCATCGGTCGTTTTATGCAGAGGCACCGGCGCATGCGGCATCACATATACGGACGATGACTTTGGAGCTTGTTTGAAGCCTGGTTGGGTCAACTCTGCTAATGTCAACGGTTGCAACAAGTGGATTCAGGCTACTTCTGATGGTGAGTACCCGCACTCCTACCAAGGTTCTGCCCGCAAAGATGTGCTTGCCTAATCAGCATTGCTTTCCACTATTCTCTTTACTCTAGCGAGTGGCATCTCGGTCTACGTCCGCGTTGTCGACGCCTGCGGAGCATCCAGCAACACTACATTTGGGTGCAATGACTTGTTCCTAACAAAAGCCGCGTTCACGGCTCTTGCCGGATCCAACTCATCCGAAGCGTTGCAAACAGGTCACCTTCCCGGGAATGTGTCCTGGGAGTTTACCAACGAGCCATGTGGCTTCTGCGCTATGGGTTACCCGGGCAAACTTCCTTGCTCCGGCGAAAACGACCCTTGCATCGGTCCTGATCACGACAGTGTCATGAGACCTGGTAGGCTCAACCTCACCGCGGCAGACTCTGCTGCCATCTGCCGATCCCCCTTGACCTCCATGACCAAGGTCAAGGCTTCGGCTAGCATTAGCTCTTGCTCGTAAAGTCATGAATACGCGGCAGTATTTATGCATGTTCATTTTGCCTTGCTCCCTCTGCAACATCAATCAAAAAATACATTTGAGTGCATACTTTTGAAATTACAAGGGGTGTAGTGCAGCCCATTGATACGACTGGCTTGAACCAGCTTCAACATGATGTGTATGTACCCTAAATACCGGTTAG